GGTTGGTGGCTTTGTGGGGTTGGAGCTTCGTGATCCTTGAGCTCCCTTCCAACCCAACCATTCTGTGATTCTGTGATTCTGTATCTGGAATTACTCCATCCCAAGTGCAAAACCCCGTATTGTCCCCTTCACGTCCCCTTCATTCCCTACACCTCCCATATCACTCCCTTACACCTTATTACTCCCTTACTCCCAGCACCCTGATGTCAACCCACCACAATCCCAACCTCCCCACAGCATCCCAGCCTCTCCCCAAACCCCTCCCAGCGCCTCACCTCGAGCCCATCCCCCATTTTAACTCCTATAGACCCCCCCCCAACCTCCGGACTCCCACCATCAGCCCTTGGGTCCCTTACGATCTCCATCCCTCCGTTGCCGAGGACGGCGTTAGGACCTCGCGGTGCTCACCTGTGCCCTGGGGCGAGGCAGGTACCGGCTGCATCCCCGCCCCCCGCCCCGCCCCCCGGACGGCACCTGCGGCCCCGAACCCGCGGCCGCCGCCGCTCCGGAACGGGTGAGTGGGGGTCGTTTGGGGGCTGTTTGTGGGTTTCGGTTTTTGTGTTTTTGGTGTCGGTTTGGAATCTCCGTCCCGCTCTTGGGTCCGGCTCGCTCCGTCCCGATTTTCGGTCTTAGTTTCGGGTTCCGGTCTCGGGTCCTCGGTGCTCGGTCCCGGATTTGGGTTCCCGGATTTCGGTTCCTTGTTCCAGAATTCGGTCCTGGTCCCAATCTCGGTCCTGGGTCTTCAGTCCCGGTCCTGGCTTGGATCTCAGTTTTCTGTCTCTGATCCTGTCCCCGGTCTTTGGGGTCTCCTGTGTCCGTAGTCCTTGGGGTCCCCGGTCTTTGGGGTCCCCCAGGTCTCCCATTCTTGGGGTCCCCAGTCTTTCAGGTCCTCCTGGGTCGCCGATGTTTGGGGTCTGAACTTTTTGGGAACCTCCTGAATCCCGGACTTTGGGGTTCCCAGTCTTTGGGGTCCCCCAGTTCTCCCATCCTTGGGGTCCCGAGTCTTTCAGGTCCCCCCAGGTCCCCAGACTTTGGGTTCTGAACTCTTTGGGGTCTCCCAGGTCCTCAGTCTTTGGGATCCCCCTGGTCCCAGCCTTTGGGGTCCTCAGTCTTTTGGGTCCCCAGAGTTCTTTGATCTTCGGAGTCCTCTGGGTCTCCCTAGTTCCAGTCTTTGGGATCCCTGGGTCCCCAGCCTTTGGGGTGCCCCTAGTCCCACTCTTTGGAGTCCCCCAGGTCCTTGGTATCCCCAGTCTTTAGGGTCCCCCTGGGTCCCCAGTCTTAGGGGTCCTTGGTCTTTGGGGTCCCCCTGATCCCAGTCTTTGGAGTCTCCTGGGTCCCTGGTCTTTGGGGTCCTCAGTCTTCAGGGTTCCCCTGATCCTGATCTTTGGGGTCCCCTCTGGGTCTCTGCTATTTGGTTCCCCCAGTCTTTGGGGTCCCCAGTTCCCAGTCTTTGGGGTATCCTGTGTCCCTGGTCTTTGGGGTTCCACCAGGTCCCTAATCTTTTGATACCCCACGTCCTCAGTCTAGTCTTTGGATCCCCCAGGCACCTGCTCTTTAAGATCCCCAGACCCTTTCTTTGTGTTCTTGATCTTCAGGTCCCATTCCCTGGTCCCAGACCTTGGTGCTCAGTTCCTTTTCTGATCATCAATCCCATTCCTGGTCCCGGTCCTTGACTCTCTGGTCATGGGTCCCATTCCCTGATCTTTGGGTCTCTGTCTCAGTCCTTTGTCCCCATTCTCTGGTCTTGAGTCCAAGTCCTGGCCGCAGTCTTCAGTCTTCCTTCCCAGTACTGGATCCCTGGTTTTCATGCCCCACTCCCTGATCCCAGTCCCATTCCCACCCTATTGCATCTTTGGGGTCTCCCTTCATCCCCCAAAGCACTCAAACCACCTCCTACCCCCCAGCATCACTCCTTTTTTTCTCAATCTGCTCAAAATTCAAGACGTGCCATCACACTCCCACAATGACAGGGGGAGAGAGGAGAGGAAATCCCACCCGTGGGGCTGCGACACCTCTTGGCTTTTTGCCATCCCAAACACCATTGGCACCCCAACCAACGTGGCCACGCTGCCACGTGGAGCTGAGGGTGGTGTTGGGTGAGGCCGTGCTATCTGCTGTGTTGATGTCTCTGCCTTTTTATTTATTCTTTTTATTATCATCATCATTTTGCTGTTCTGCCACTATTGCTTGTTTTTGGGAGGAGGGGGAGAGAATATCTCTATTTCAACCTCTGGAGTTCCTCCCTCTGTCACCAAGGAGGAAGCAGCTGTCCCATCACGTGGGCACTATCCTGCTGCCACCCGTGGCTGTGACCGTGTTGGTGACCCTTTTCCTTAAATCCCTTTCCTCCCCACCCCCATTTATTTCTTCTTTCTCTTTTTTTTTTCTTTTTTCTTTTTTTTTTTTTTTCCTTCCTTTTAAAACCTCTTTCGAATGCAACAGGCTTAATAACTCTCTCCGAACAGCTTGCACGTGTTGCTCTTGCTGCGTGCATCCTGGGGAC